AAGGAACAGGAAGCATTATTATTCCAGTGCTGCGATGAACCTTGTGAAGCTAGATGGCTTGCAGGATATGAAGAATGCAGACGATATCTGCTCGGGAGCGAAGGGGTGGGGTATGACGATGATGAAGCTTGAAGTTTCCATAGATTGTTTGGTTGCGTGTTCAGATCACGTCGGATGGTCACCACTGTGGCCGGTGAGGAAGGAAAAGGGGAGATCTCCCGCCGGGCAAGGTGTTCCGCCCGGGGAGCGGCCAACACTCCTTGTGATAGTTCGGAGATGTTCTATATATACTGTTTATGATTTGGAATGTTGATAGCGTGATTTAGGCTTCAGTGTGTTTCGTTTGCGGCGCGACGACAGCGCCGCTACATATACATATATACATATATATTTAAATAAAATATATACTATACCAATAAAGCATACAATATAGTATACGTAATTATAATAAACATAATAAAATTAATCAAGTAATTTTAAATAATACGCCTCAAGCTTACGTTTAAATATATTTATTGGGGGAGCATCTTTTAAATTTCGTGGAAGGTTATTCCAAAGTGTAATTGATGATACCGTGAAGGAATCCGAGTAGTATGCAGATTTATGGATCGGGATAGTTAGAGTTTTGTTGGTCATCGAACGGGATGAGCTTAAATATGAAAAACGCTCTTTTAGATAAACTGGGGAAATAGGATTGTGAAGAATACCATACAAAGTGGTTAGAAGGTGTGTATTCCGACGAAAACGGATGTCGAGCCACTTAAGTCTTGAACGAAATTGTGATATATGATCAAACTTGCGCAGGCCAAAAATATAGCGTATGCACAGATTGAGCAGACGGTCGAGTTTGCTAAGCAGCTCCTCGGTTATATCTGGATAGGCAATATCGGCATAATCAAAAATATAGCGTATGCACAGATTGAGCAGACGGTCGAGTTTGCTAAGCAGCTCCTCGGTTATATCTGGATAGGCAATATCGGCATAATCAAAAATATAACGTATGCACAGATTGAGCAGACGGTCGAGTTTGCTAAGCAGCTCCTCGGTTATATCTGGATAGGCAATATCGGCATAATCAAAAATATAGCGTATGCACAGATTGAGCAGACGGTCGAGTTTGCTAAGCAGCTCCTCGCTTATATCTGGATAGGCAATATCGGCATAATCAAAAATATAGCGTATGCACAGATTGAGCAGACGGTCGAGTTTGCTAAGCAGCTCCTCGGTTATATCTGGATAGGCAATATCGGCATAATCAAAAATATAGCTTATGCACAGATTGAGCAGAGGGTTGAGTTTGCTAAGCAGTTCCTCAGTTATATCTGGATAGGCAATATCGGCATAATCAAAAATGCGTGCTGGTGCTGGTCTGTGCCTGCGCTCATTGAAGAGAACCTGGTGCAGACTTTCATCGACGGCATCCGCGACGTGGAAGTCAGAGCTGCTGTGAGGCTCGGGCACCACGAGACGCTTAAGAACGCCTTGGCCCATGCACTGGAGGTGAAAGCCGTGCGACAGGATCTTCGTTCCCTTCGCGTCAGGGAGGTTGCAGCAACTATAGCAGTTCGCAACCGTAATAATGGATACAGCCCTAGGTGCTATGGCTGTGGGGAAAGGGGCCATCGTCGATCCAGGTGCCCTAAGCGAACCGTAGAAAGGGAAGTTGATCGATCTCGAGAGGGTAGTGCAGCTAACGGCACCGCCTGGCGGCGGCAGGATCATCGTTCCCCTCACGTAAGGGAGGTTGCAGCAGTTACGGTTCGCGACCACAATAAAAATTACAGCCCAAGGTGCTACGGTTGTGGGGAAAGGGGCCATCTTCGATCCAGCTGCCCTAAGTGATCTGTAAAAAGGGAAGGTGATCGGTCTCGAGAGGGTTGTGCAGCTAACAGCACCACCCAGCAGCAGGAATACGACTTTGTGATTGAACACCGCAGCGGGAGATCGCATGGCAACGCAGAAGCATTGTCAAGGAGACCTTGCCCTGAAGATTGCAAGCATTGTACTAGGCAGGAGAGTAAGAAAGTGGTATCCGTGAGGATGCTCAGGACAGACCACCTCAGCAACGAGTGGAAGGACAGCCTACGACATGCACAGCAGGAAGATCCGGACATCAAGCCGATTCTGGAATGGATGAAGGCCCCTGCTACCAAGCCTACGTGGAGCGACGTCTCAGCGATGAGTTCAACCACGAAAAGCTATTGGGCCCAATGGGACAGCTTGCTGATTCAGGATGGAGTCCTGTGCCGTAAATGGGACAATGGTCGAGGAGACAGCTGTCGTTTGCAAATGGTTGTCCCTAAAGCTAAAGTGCCGAATGTTCTACAGCTGTGCCATAATGGTTGTTCAAGAGTCCATCTGGGAGTTAAACGAACTCTACTGAAGGTCCGAGAACAGTTTTACTGGGTCCAATCCGTGACGATGTCGAGGATTGGTGTCGTACATGTACTGCGGCTGTGAGGGAACCTCAGACACGTAGTAGAGGGACATCGAAATTGTACAATGTTGGTGCACCATGGGATAGGACAGCCCTTGACATTGCGGAGCCGTTACAGAAAGGCGCAAGAGGGACTCCTAAGATCGTCCATGTGGATCGCTTGGCGCGTTATTATGGGGCCGATAATGCTTGGGACGAGCATGTCTTAGGAGGGGGCAGTGTTGCGCGAATAAGTCGACGTCATGTATCCGGCACTAGCGCCATCTAGTGTCAGGGACGAGAGCGAGGGGAGCTTTCCAGAAAATGACATCACTAATCTTTCATCTCCAGCGCCATCTAGTCTCGGAACGAAGAACTAAGCTTCTAGAAGTCGACACTCGAACTCTCGGCCCCTTGCGCGTGTTTACTTGAATATTCTGGATGTTTCGGTGCTAATTTGTATTTACAGGCGCTGCAAGATGCGATCGGGGAAGTATTGAATTTGGCGAGACAAGCGAAGCTTCGGAGCGAAATAAAGTGAATCAGTGTGATTAATTATTAGTGTTCTAAGTTTTAATTAGTGTAAAGTGAATTAAAGAGCTAATTTTGGTAATTCTATCGGCAATTTTTATTGTCACGAACCTCAAGCTCGTAACAATAGTATCGCTTTTGACTCTTGAGTCCAACGAAACTGGTAAAGAGCAAAACTGTTTGTTGAGCGCTGTTAAATCGAGGGACTGACTAACATTCTGTTTACTTTTACCAAAGCCTAGGCTGCGCAAAAACTTCCGTAATTTCTGGGTTGTGAAGATTGCTGCTGAGACGTCTCTGTCCGTGCATCCAACTTCGGGCGGAGCAACACGGATTCAGGAGGGGTCACTCTACAGTCACACAGTTGACTAGAGTGCTGCACCTGCTTGCGGCAGAGTATAACCGTGGCCGCATATCGTTGGGCGTCTTTCTCGACATTGAGAAGACGTTCGACAGGGTGTGGAACTCAGGATTACTTTACAAACAAACCAGTTGCATGAACAGACCAGTGTCCCTCTTGCTATGTTGCGGCTAGTGGCGTCTTTCCTGAATGACAGGAAGTTCTACGTCTGCGTAGAAGACGCCGAGTCCGCAACAAGATCCATCAGAGCCGGCGTTCCACAGGGCAGCTGTTTGTCTCCAGTCCTGTACGCGGCTTACACTAACGACATCCCAACACTGGCAGGTAGGCTGCAAGAGTGGGAGGACGACGTAGAGCTGGTGCTATATGCGGATGATAACGCCTATTTCACCTTGTCCAGAAGAGCCCGTATAGCCACTGCCAGAATGCAGCGTCTGCTGGACCTATTGCCACCATGGCTGGACGAGTGGAGGATGTCAACGTTGGTAAGACGACCGCTCTGCTCACTCGCCGTCTCAGAAATCTACCACCTCCGCTGATCCTCAATGGCCAGAAGATCGCGTACGAGAAGGCCGTGACCTATCTTGGGTGCCGCTTTGACAGGACGCTGCGCATGAGCGCGCACGTCGACTTCGTCGTCCGTAGAGCCAGATGTGCGTGGGCGACACTCTTGCCAGTCCTGGCATCCAAGTTGCCAACTAAGACCAAACTGAAACTGTACAAAATGTACATACGTACCATTATTACCTAAGCTGCTCCGGCCTGGTACTTCTGAGCGACCTTCTGAGGCGGCGACTGCAGGCCCAGCAGAACCTGACATTAAGGACGATCGTCGGAGCAGGTCGCTACGTCTGGAATGACGTCATAGCGGCCGATCTGAAAGTCGAGACCATCACAGACTTCGTGGCCCGGCTGGCGAGCGGCATGTTCGACCGCGCTGTCAACGGGCCTCACGAACACCTCAACGGCTTTGCGCCGTTGCACACACGGCCCCCGAACGGGCGACCTTATCCAAGAGAACTCCTCTCTATATCGATTAGAGTCGAGTAAAACCCACATTGCCGCAGATAGGCCAACTCCGACCTCAACTGATAACGTCCTTTTTTCCCGTAGTATAACCGACTACGGAAAAAATTCTGACTACGGACTAATCCGCCGAGACCAACCATGCCTAGAAAAGGCTCCCAGGACTGGCCCATAGCTGTGGACCATGAGGAAGATCCGGACAATGGGGGCATACCCCGAGGCCTGAGACCTGCATGGCATATATGCCCTGTAGACGACAACACTGAGCTCAAGCGTAGTCGCAGCACAGCCGTCGAAAGGCAACAAAAAAGGAAAAAAGGGAACCTGAAACCTGCGGAACAAGAAGCTACCTAGAAAAAGTGTTTAATTTTGCCTCCTCCCGGTTACTCGTCTCTCTCTCGAGGTCCTAGTAGGGTCGTACTAATACATACGCATTCAGGGGTGCGTGGGACGTGCGTCACCAGCGAATAGTAAGGAGCGTACGTCACTCAAGTGGAAGATTGTCCCAGGGCGACTGTGCGGGCACTGGACGTGTCCCTGTCGTCCGAAACAGTTGGTAAGTACATAGAAGAATACAAAAGAATCAGAAGACTTCGTTCAAGATGCCGGTTACCAGGTCACAGAAGGATGCTCCCTCACGTAAGGGGTCCCTTCCTTCAGATAAGGATGCGACAGGTGAAATGTCGCGATCAGAAGGGGTCTCGTCTGCGTCAGCGTCAGCATCATCAGGAACAGCAACTACGTCAGATTCAAACACTTCTTCGGACACTACGACCACCACGACAGGGAGAGGTTACCACCACGACAGAGACCACGGTTGCAACTGTCACCACGGCGGCGTCCGAGGAGAACGGACAGAAGAATGAAGCCGCACAGAAGGAGGCGACCAAGAAGACTCCAAAGGATATTCCGGACAAGGGCGTTCATGGCTCTGCCCCAACCCTTAAGCCAAAGAGGGTCCATGGGTGGTGCGCCAGGTCCATGAATACCACGAGCTCCTCAGCCAGGAGACGCGAGCTGGAAGCTAGAGAAGAATTAGCACGCATGGAACTGAAGCAAGCCCAAGCTGCGGCGAAATTAGCCCGTGTCAGATTAGCGCTGGCACAGTGTGAAGAGGAGGACTCCGTGGATGATGAACAGGAGGACAGAACAGCACAGGTGCAGTACTAGAACGAGACATCAGTATTGGAAGAAAACAACATAGTAAAACACGAGCAACGAGGTCAGCACCCTCCGGAAGAGCCACAGAATGTGAAGCCTGAACAGAAATCCTTAGCGAAAAAAGGTACGAGCGAGATTCAAGCGCTGACGATAGCATTGAAGGAAGCCCTTACCACAAGAGGAGGACCAGTAGCTCAGCCAAAGTACATCCACGTGTTACCCTACTTCGATGGCAACAGCAGCGAGTGGTTGGCCTTCAAGGTGGTCTACGAAGATACCGCCCTGATGTTCAACGCAGTCCAAAACATGGCTCGACTAAGAAGAGCACTAAAGGGCAACGCAAGAGAAGCTATCAAGAGCCTGCTGTACTCTGAAGCCTCTCCGTTGGAAGTAATGCAGGCCCTCAGGATACGACATGGAAGACCTGATGCGCTGGTGCTGGCTGAATTGGACAAAGTCAGGGCGTTACCGAAGATTTCTAAAAATCCAAGGGATATATGCGTCTTCGCGAGCCAGATCAACAACAGCGTAGCAGCAATAAAGGGTTTGAAGAAACCACAGTACCTACATTCACCTGAAATGGTAAAGCAAATTATAGAAAAGATGCCTACAATTCTCAAGTTCCGATGGTATGACTTTACTGCAGCAACGGAAGAGGGCGAGTTCTCCAACCTGACGATGGTCACCAAGTTCCTGAACATCGAAGCAGACAAATGTGGAGCCTTCACGATCTCAGAAGATAAGAGCGGGTTCAGAAGAACTCATCGGCAAGCGACGCATTCTAGAAGGGAAAAGGACATCAAAGAAAGAGATTCAAGATAGTCAACAGAGAAGACTTGTCCTATGTGTCAAGGTGGACACTTCCTCGTCGACTGCCAGAAGTTCCAGAAGACGTCAGTACAAGATTGGTGGGTAACAGTAAAGAAAACTCACGTTTGCTTCAAATGTCTTCAAGGGAAACATCGAAGGGAGAGCTGCAAGAAACCACCTTCTAAGAAATGCAAGAGGTGGCATCATCATTTGCTGCACGTCGAATCAGAAGACAGGACCTCGGGAGAGAAGAAGGCGGAAACACAAGAAGAAGTAGCAAGCGTCATGACATCAGTAAATGCAGTCAACAACGCAAGGGCATACCTGAAGATAGTTCCAGTAGAAATCTTCGGGCCAAAAGGATCCAAAAGAATATTGGCCCTCATGGATGAAGGGTCGACAGTGTCGCTTATTGATGAAAAGGTGGCAGAAGAGTCCCCAAAGGCGGTTTTTAGAGGGTATCACTTAGGTTCCCCCCGGTAGGCAGTGAGTCCCTCATAACCACGATAGACCGGCTGTCGTGGTATGCGTAATGCATTTTCCGCCTCCCTACATAAGGGGTAGCCCTTTCCAATAGCTTCGGGCGCAAAAAAAAAGGCTCAAGCGCAGTCGCAGCACAGCCGTCGAAGAGGCAACAACAAAGGAAAAAAGGGAAGCCGAAACCTGCGGAACAAGAAGCTACCTAGAAAACTGTTTAGTTTTGCCTCGTCCCGGCTATTCGTCTCACTCTCCAGGTCCTAGTAGGGTCGTACTAATACATACGCATTCAGGGGTGCGTGGGACGTGCGTATTTTCCTTCACGGCCAAGCACGTAGTAAATCAGCACTTAAAATTGAAATTGACAATTTCATTGCTGCTGGCGGGGATCGAACTCGGGTTGATTGCGTACTGTGAAATGTATAGCAAGCGCTAACCATCTGAGCTGCCACGGCTTATATATGTGTGTGTGTGTGTGTGTGTGTGTGTGTGTGTGGTGGAAACTTATTGAACGAATTTTGTTATTTGAAACTTGGTTACGTAACACCGCGGGCCGAAAAGCTAGTAGTACATAATATATACTACTAGCTTTTCGCCCCGCGGTGTAAATTATACTTAATACGTAAAAACTAATGTTTGTTTGTTTGTATTTGCACTTTTGGGAAGTTTATAGACATAGTACAGTTAACTTACAATATGTGGTGCGCGTGTCGTACCCTAAAATTTATTTGAAAGTCATATATTCAATTTCAACTTTGTAATATTATTCCTAATTAAACAATATTACTCTTCCAAATTTAAAATAATATTTTTAGAATTATTTATTCCGTGGCTGCAACGCGCCGGGTGCTACTAGCTTAGTATATTAGTTATTACTTACATGTAATATATGGCTGGCTACTGTAGTTTAAACTAGCCTCTGTATTTATAAGCAAACGGCAACCTGTTAAAGTAGCACTATTGTTAATACTGTTTTTTTTACAGGAAATAAAGCATTGCCGGAGGAATGCAGAGGAACAGCTATCTTTATCAATATAATTGATCAGCTGTTCGACTCATTCAACGGATCAAAGTACAAGGACGACGCAAAACCTTTAAAAGGATGTTTAAAAAGAAACTCAACTGTGGAACGAATTTTTACCAATTTTGCGTTCAATAGGGTTTGAAACTGTTCATAAGAAAAGAGATGGGACTGAGTTTATAAAATATGTTCAAGTCCCTTTTTAAAAAATAGATCAAAAACAGTGAAAGCATGAAAGAAATACTTCTTTTATTAAATAAAAAAATATCATGTACAAACCTTATTGACGCGAAACTTTAATCAAGATCCTTTGAAAAAGTTTTTTTTGTTGCGCCAATTTTCTAATGCATATAAGTCACTAATTATTAATAGGTAATTATACATTACATCATTCTGTTGGGACAAATTGTAAAAAGGATGGAGATAAACTATTGCAAAATTTAAAATCATTAGTTGTGGAACGCAATATAAATCATGAAGAAAGTGACGATAATATCTGCTTGGATTCGTTAATTAAAGTTTTAAATGAGAATAATGACAATATGAGCCAGAAAGAATCAAAACAATATGTAGCTGGATATGTAATAAACAAATGTAAACCAATTTTTAACCCTTAATAGGGCCATGGTATCAGAATGTACCACATTGCATTATGGGGTTTTGAACAAACTTAATGTTCATAAATGTACCACAAAATGTCATTTTATGCGAGTGAGTGAATGATTCTACAAAATGAATCATCAATCGCGTGTATCCGAACGGACATTTTTGAACGATCCTGTTTTAAAAAAAACTGTCAGTGGCTGGTTATTTTCGCGCGATTGTGAGGTGTTTTTTGTGAAAATGTCGAAAAAAATCCGGTAAGTGATATTGTATTTGTTTTTTTCAGAGCTTATAAAAGAAATATTTATGTAAATATAATAGTTTTAGTATTGAGAGTGTGATTCTAGAACTATATGAGTGCAAAGTATGTGGTACATATTTCGACCAAAGCCCATTAAAAGCGATCCATCTTTTTGTCTTGTGTAATATGTATGGGACATAAAAATTATTTGATTTTTTTTATTGATAATCATATGTTATGGTTACTTATAAATAGTTGGTGTACAAAATGTAAATTGTATATTGAAAGGAAAAATGATGTGTTGTAACAACCATCACTTGGTAAAATGACAAGCGTATACCTATTGTAAAACTGATAATAAATGCAATAAATAACAGCTTCGTATTTTATTACAGGTTGAAGAACTTAACTTTTTCTTCATCATTCTTACTTAAATACAGTTTAGTTAAATGAATAAATTAGATACTATATGGTTATGCCCTCTAGTGGGTGACCATGTAAAGAATCAGCGCCATATTCTGGAGGTAGCTTGTAATTAATAATTTTAAAACCTCAGTGGCGTATCTACTCCCGATTATACTAGCTTATCTATGCTGTTAAGGATTATGGGGTTAATTAAAGATACAAGACTTGGAACATAAATTCACACAACAGCTGACCTGGTCTTACTAAGTAAAATTGCTCAAGATCGTTTAGACTGCCCTGACTTATTAAAAAGATTACATATCTCAGTTCCATCTCGTTCACTGCGTTATTACAATCCCTTACATCTTTCTTTATGTAGAGCTAATTACAGGCGAAACTCATTCTTAAGAGCATGTAACTCATTTAATAAATTTTCTAAGGACTGTGATAAGGCTGACGTCTTTTCTACTAGCGGTACTACTATCTGCAAATTGATAACATCTAAATTCAGTAGCAATTTACTCTTGAACTCTTAAATCTAATCAGCATCCATGTATAAATTATATCTACTTATATATGTTGCATGTATTTACCCAAACCGACTACTCATCTTTGAAAACTTCTAATAGGCTTACTTTGTAAATTACATTATATACCATAATATAGTATTAATTAAAAGCTGTAAGTTTTCCTGTTATAAATAAATAAATAAATAATGTGCTTTTTATTTTTATCTCAAACAACAACATGAAGAGCAGAGCACAGATTACTGTATATATTATATACAATAATCTATGGTATATGTATTAGAGATAGATGCGCGACTCAAATTTAATTGTCGCTAAAGTTCGTGTTTCGCCTAATAGATGGCGTTAAATTAATAGTGCTTTGGGCTCGCTCCTTATTTTCACTTTACTATTTTTATTTTATATACACCACTAATTACATTGCGCAAGTGCTGCAATGTAATTAATAGTTGTTTACGTTTCTTGTGGTAATTGTTAGTTCCTATTACAAAAAATAAAAAACCGGTTATTTTTAAAACGTTTATTGTTTAAAAATTCTTTACTTAGTTATTGAATATCATGAGATGTGTTAAATTTAACAATATTTGCACAATATCAATTGATTTCTTTATACAATCTCCCTAACCTTTTGTAAACCTGAGAATAGAATATTTCTTATTAAATATAGGTTATTACATAATATTTATTGGAAGTCATGTTTTATTTACCACTAATACCTCCGTCCTTGGAAGAACCAGCAAAAAACCCAGCCGGACTTTTTTAAACATATTTAACTTTACAATAATTTAGTTTATATACTTTTTAAATAAATTTTAATAGTACATACAAGCATGGTTGCGATCACCTCATTCCCAGGAGTTATTTGATGTATTCTTTGATATTATAATAACACTTTTTATACATTTTTCCTTTAATAAACATTTCA